GCAGGAGGCGGCTGATCGATGTTTCACTCTCATCAATGTTTCTATCTCCCTCTCCCTTCCTCTCTGAAATCAATTAAAAATACATTTTTTTTAAAAAAGTGGGACTCTTGCCTGGCAGGTGTGCCTCGGTGGTTGAGAGTCGACCCATGAACCAAGAGGTTGATGGTTTGATTCCCAGTCAGGGCACATGCCCAGGTTGCATGCTCGATCCCCAGTAGGGGGTGTGCAGGAGGCAGCCGATCCATGCATCTCATCGATGTTTCTCTTTCCCCTCTCCCTTCCTCTCTGAAATCAATGAAAATATGTATTTTTTTAAAAAAAAACATTTTTTTAAAAAGTGGGACTCTTGCTGTCATTGAACTCCTTCTGGGATCTCCAAAAACCCTTCCGTCAGAGACTTGCTAACACCCTGTCTCTCCCTCCGTACGGAGGTCCAGTACTTAATAAGCTGCCAGCCTTAGTGGCTACTCAGAGCTTGTCCAAGTCTCCCTGGGACACAGAACAACTCTGTAAATTGCCCACTGGGTTCTATAAAGAAAGATGGCGCCAAGGCCAGACCCTTTTGGACACGTGGCTGGCCAGCTTCGGGAATCAGATAAGACACCTCTGTGGCAGGTACATTCACACAGCTGGGCATCCCACTGGCCAAGCCCCTATCTGAACTGGTTGCAAAACAACCCTCAGGACACGCAGCATCCTTTCCGATCTGCTGAGGAGGATTCAGTCCAAAAAAAAGAGAGAAGCTTTTGGCATCAGGCTTCCTTGGTCTCCCCAGCTGAGCAGAGAGCCACAGGACAGAGCTGAGGTCAAAATATATTTAGCCGGCAGCAGTTAAACTAAAACATTTTTAAGTTAAAAAATGTCAACTCTCCTGATGAATCATTTCAACAGGCAACAAGGGAAGGGGGAAATGAAGCAGAGCGAGGTCTAAGCAAGAAAAAACACTAATAAAATTATCAAACTCCCCGTCCCAACATAAACCGTGACAGGACAGGAGCCTGACAGAGCAATAGTGACAGACGGCAGAAGCTGCAGCGGAGCGAGTGGGAAGCGGGGCCCTGGACACCTCTCCCAGCCCGGACCTGACTCCCAGCAGGCGTCCTGGGAGAAGGCGGCCAGCAGGCCATTCCCTGACCGAGACGTGGGCATCCTCTGGCAGGGCAGCATGGCCCCGGCAGGACGGAGTTATGGCATGCTGGCCCCACCCCGTTCAGACCCTTCCGACGCTCTCCCCATGAGCAGTGGTGGCTCTGAAAGTGAACGCCCTGACCTGGAGCCTCCGGTGTCCCCTCCAGGTGGCCTCTTTGTTGTGACCCTGCCTCTTCTGCATCCACTCTCTCTGATGAACAACAGAAAATCCCCAGTATCCACATCTTTAAAACCAAAGATACCAAAAAAGCTGAATTTACTTTTGCCACCTGTGAAAAAACAATAACGCCCCAGAGGACAAGGACTGTGACAGGTTTTACTCCAACACGATGTTCTTCTTAGGATGTCTGTCACCCCGTGCCTCGCTCCAACACGCTTTGCATGTCCATGCCTCTGTGCCTTTGCATATGCTATTCCCTCTGCTATGATGCCTTTCCCTGCCTCCCAGGCCTTTGTTTCCTCTGTGGAGCCTTCTCCAACCTTTGTCCCCTCCCTCCCTTTATTCCAGCTCCTTTCACATTGTAGCACCATAGAGACTTGTTGAATGAAACTGAAGGGAAGCTCTTTTAGGGGCAATATTAAGAGCCTGGTTCCCTATGAACCACTAGGCCAAGTTCAGTCAGTACCTGGCACACAGACAATGCTGACATATTTGTGGAATGAATAAGTGGATGCATAAGTAAATGGGTCCTAAACACCATTGGAGTGTCCGGCCTGCTCTCGGTGAAAACAGGCCTTATCGGATTTAAACATTGGGGTTTAAATCAGGTAGGAACAGATGGTGTCTAACCTTTCAAAAGGATTAATATGGATCCATCTGACAACAATGAAAAATAGATCCTAGAGTATGAGATGTGACAGGAAGATGATTACATTGCTATTTGCCCTGGAACCCTATTCAAGATGAGCCCCAAGTGCACAGCCATAACAAACTACCACAGATTTGGTGGCTTAAAAAACAGAAACGTATTCTCTCCCTGTTCTGGAGGCTGGAAGTCCAACATCAAGGTGTCGGCAGGGCTGTGCTCCCTCTGAAGGCTCTAAAGGAGGGTCTTCCAGCTCCTGGTGGCTCCTGAAAACATTGCCGTCCTTGACTTGTAACTGCATCACTCTGGGTTATACCTCCATCATCGCATGGCCTTCTCTGTGTGCTCTCTTCTATCTCTGATTAGATTTAGGGCCCATCCTTGTCCAGTGTGATCTCGTCTTGATCCTTACCTTATCATATCTGCAAAGAGCCTGTTTGTAATTACGGTCCCATTCTGAGGTTCTGTGTAGACATGAATTTGGGAGAGGCACTATTCATCCCAATAAGGATACCAACTCCTGCAAGAAGGCATCCTTGATGCATCCTCACCCCACTCTGCCTCAGGCTAGGCCACTGTGACCGTGACTCATCCTCAATTCCCTCTTGTCATCAGGGACATCTGCTAGGTGGGAACATCTTTCACTGCTGTAGCATGGGGCCTGGCACTGAGAAGAATC